TCAAAAATTCAGGAAAAATACTCACAACTCTCCAAGGTGTTCGAGACACCATCAAATTTAAGCTTATTTCATCATATTTTATTTTTCTTCATCTTGTGGGGGTAAAGTTATGACTTTTGGAAGAAATTTCCATTCGAAGATGATCACCCTACACTCCATGGCAAAATAGAGCGCTTTTAGGGCCCCAGTTTCATCCAAATTGCACAGAGCTCACAGTCCTGTACACGGCTTCCACCCTTATTTTCTACGAGCCCTCAAGTTCATGGCCCACAATATGCTACCAAAAAATTGAAGATTTTGAGGGCATGCAAATCGTGATTTGGCCGGCGTAGGTAATTATGGGCCTATTTATTGGTCTGCAACCTAGCGCCACCTATTGTCGGATGATGTTTTCAACCGTCGCCCCATTTGGTGATTATCACAATAGTATTAACAATCTTTCAATAGACCGACACATAATTTGTCAACTAAATAAAGTAGTTAGGCTAAAAAATAATAATAGGGCGACATTAATAATAATAATGATCTTAATGAATGCTTCCTTCACTGAAATTAATTTAAAAATATGTTTTAAATGCGACAGAATACAAGATGCGACAAGATGCGAAACGATGCGAGAAGGAAATGGCCGAGGAGGGGCAGGGAGAGGGGTGAGGGGGGGGGAAGGGAAGATGAACACTTGACAAAAGAGAGGAAATAGATGGACAGAAAACAAGCACAAGATCACGGCGACAGTTCAAATTTCATCGACATGTAACATGTGACGTACATGGCATGTGATTACGACATGACGACATCAATTCAAATTTCACGAATAACACATCATACATGGCATGTGATGATGTCACCATGCCGTCACTTAATTGTCATCTATAGCACGTCCCAGTATCAGTACATATCGAGTTACAACAAAATTGGGCCCCTTTTTTTGTTAGATAAGGGCTCAGACAAATGCCCCTTTAATGTGACGTCACATGACTTGTGATGACGTCATGATGACGTCACTTACATTTTCATCGTCCCAGAATGAGTACACATCAAGTTACGACTTAGTCAGACTTGCTGTACTTGAGAGAATCAAGTCATAGAAAAATTACCCTTTTAATGTGACGTCATGATGACGTCACTTGAATTTTTATCTATAACACATCCCAGTATAGGCACATATAATGTTACAACCAAATCGGACCGATTGTTCTTAAAAATATGTCCCTGTCACACAGAGAAAAATTCACATTGAATGTGACGTAACTTGACACCTGATGGCGTCAGGATTACGAATTTCTTCTTGAATAACCTGTGAGTGGCGGTTTATGTGTGTATTAAGTCTGAAGTCGATCGGATTTACTGTAGTGCCAAATTGTATTGGTGGAAGAAAAACGTTTACAACCCCATGGAGATGAGTCTGAAAAAGAATAAGAATAAAAAAATCGAAAACAATAGCTGTTTCAGCTGAGTAGCCGAAACAGATAAAAAATCTTAACAAGAACAATAGCTGTTTCGGCTGAGTTGCCGTAACAACTAATTTTACGACTGTGCGTGAACGCTATGACAAGAGCAAAAAACTTACGCTGCTGTGTGGTGGGTTCTGTCGAAGCGCCCTCATCGGTGACCGGGCTCACCTGGGCAGACTTGACACTGGTGTAAAAGTAGCTGCGGTCAGGAACCCCTTTCACAATGGTTGCCCTAGCCAGAGAGATTATAAAGAGATCATGGCATGAACTTAACACTGAAAGATTTATTTTGGGTGCAAATTTCCACTCTTCTAAAATGATTTTGTTTAAAAGCACTGTTGGTAAAGTGCATTTTTTTTAAACACTTACAATGTGTCACGCCTTCCTGACAACTGAGGGCGCTGTTACTGTAATGTCATATAATGCACACACCCTTCAGTTTAGGAGTTTTCTGCTCAAATTGTGAACACAAACATTTGCTCATTAAAAGCACCGATGTAATTTTGTGTAATGTTGGTGAGTACTATAATGCAACGTCATTTGGATGCGCTACAAAATACATTGTGAATTTGTTTTTAATAACCAATATCTATGGTTAAACAGTTTTTAATCAAATACCATGGCAACCATAATCAGTCATTATATTTTTAAACAGTCAGAACATTATTGTTACGTCTACGTATATTTATATTGGCAATTAGTTCGAAGTCGCTATGTCCAACTTTCTGTCATCCTGTGGCAGGCTTTCGAAGAAGGGTGCGTGTTCTCCGTGTACTTTTTCTGATAACAGACAGGTTAATCCAACTGGTTCTCTTCAGAACCACACATACTCACAAAAGAGATATTTCCACATGGTGTTACCGCAAACCTCTCACTTACTTAACAGGCAAATTGTGAAAGTAGTGTTCTCTTCTACTTAAAAACCCATCTTTTAAAACAGTATTTCTTGATTACTTAATTGCAGGCGCAGATCCAGAGGGAGGGGGGTCGACCCCCCTGCTTTGACACAAACAAGCATAACAATTATAGTAATAATAATTATGTCCGACTGTCCGCAACAATCGGACATAAAAACGCTTACGGGCCTGACCCCCCCCCCCTCACTCCTAATTGCCAGAATTCCTTGATCTGCGCCTGAATTGTTAGTATTTTTAACTAATTGCTTTTGTTTCATGACTTTTTATCTGAATGTCTTTCTTGCGAATCTGTGGATGTGTAATTGTACAGCGATTTGTGATGTCTTTGTGACGCGGAAAGCGTTTTTTATATTATTATTAGTATTATAATTATTGTTTTAAACACTTTTTTTAACGGTTTTTCACTGAAGACAAAAAAAACACACTATAACGCGAAAAAATGTATAAACAGAATGAGAAACTAACTAGCATAACAGCACCGTGTCTTTCCCACTAAAAGTGGATAAGAAACGTGGCCATCGGCATCACACAGCAGTCTCGTCTTTCCGCATAGTGAACTAATAAGACACTTGTTGAGCCCAAGTGTTGCTTGCCTTGGTCAGATATTAGAATATCGTGATCAATTAAGGTGAAAATAAAAAGCCAGAGTTGTTTGGTTCTTACTTGAACTCGATCGGTCCTTCGTCAAGAGCCGGGGCGTTCCAAATCCCAACGACTGAGGATTTTGCAATATTGTTGGAATGTCCCCAAGCGGACTGAAAAAAATGACAAAACAAATATTATGATAATTCGGAGGAAAATCTTCTTCTATGGCATATATAGGATCCTTGCATTTAGGCCAAAAGTAACCAACCGAATTATCAAAAATCTGGTGACTGCTCTATGTTCCGACACCCCTATGCTCCGACAAACTGCACATACGATTGTGTTACTCCCGGTTAGGGTCAGGGTTATGGTTAGGAATAGGAATATGTGCAGTCGGAACATAGGGGTGTCGGAACATAGAGGTGTAACCCAAAAATCTTACACAGATTCAAGATTTCAGGAAACTCTTCCGTCCAGGTTGATGTCATTTAGAAGAAATCAAGGGGTATACCTGATTTCCGACAATCAGTCCATTGACTGATTTTGGAATAAAGAGTGATGTTGACGAAACCGTGTTTCGTGATCAAAAGGTTGTGCATGGTTTTCCCCTTCTTTTCGAAAAGTCAGAGCTGAACCTTCCTCTTCAGATGTTGAGTGTTGTGTTTATTGGAACGAACAAAATATGCATGAATGCAGATGCATTTCTGCTACACGTATTTGCCTTTAGGTGGCACTCGCTGTCCTACGGAAGCGATCAGAATACAAGTACTTTTTCGGTCCAATTACATGTCAACTTTACTCAAAATAATAATAACCAGTTCTTATATACAAAAAGATGTAAACACACATGCGTGTCTTTCGAGCTGAAAATTCAGAAACCCCAGTCACACTAGCAATAATCCAACAAGACTTCCACACGGGTACAGCGCTCTAAAGTGGTAAAATGTAGCCCTGGCTGGCGGCACAAGGGTTGAGAGGCTCTACTCGGGTACTTATCCAAAATCTACAGCCGAACCGCGTGTGCAATTTTGGACCAGTGTTGGTATCAACAGGTGCGGGTGAGACGACACAGGGTGGTCAAAGAAAAATCGGTACGCTCTTTCAGACGCAGATTTCTTGGAATTGGGTAGACTTGTTAAAAATGTGTAACGATATTCCTAAACTACAGCATCTTCGTGGTATATGGTGCAAACAGTGCTGAAAATAAAGCCTAAATTAAGAAATGGCAATGATTTAAAGAAGAATTGTTCAAAAAGCATTTGTCCACACACAACTCTATGAGATATGGTCAACACAATAGTACTGCGAACACAAATAACTGCAACAATTGTAATTATAGGTTTACATGACTGCCATAGATCTGGACAAACTAGTTTTTGACAATTCTTCTGTAGATGGCCACTATTTCTTAACCTGAGCTTTATTTGCAACGACGTTTTCACCATATACGACCAAGATCTTTTAGTTTGGGAATACCGTGGAACAATTTCAACATGTCTCTTCAATTTGGGCGATTCACAATGCAGTGCACCACCAGAAGTTTGCCACGGAGAGTTCATTTTTCCGAGTGCGTGCACTGTCGGAGATGGTTGACAAATCGCAGCGCGGGACATTACAATTTTTTTCAGGTCAGTATATATAGTTTCGTAAGCGTATGATTCGAGTATCTAGCAGTTTGGCAGCAGAACAATGCCCAAATCTATAACAAATTAGCTTAAGTTGTCTATTGACACTCATTCAAATGGGCCATGTTTTGTCGACCGTAAACTTGACAAATGGACCCTTGCAAACTCTTAGTGGCGCACTGCATTGTGGATCGCCCGAATTTTGAGAAATCTGCCTTTGAAAAAGTGTAAACTTTTTGAACCACCCTGTTAAGTGTGAAAAGGCCGATATGGTCTGATGCCGTACGATTAAGGAGTTTTTGTTGGCCGAATAAATAATTATAATAATAATAATAATAAAATCTCGTGCAGAACAATGTTATACAAGTGCTACTGAGTAAACATGAGCTTGAATAGTTGGAAAAAAAGAACATGACTATTTACACTGGATTCCTTACATGTGCTACATTGTGGCAGAAGAGAAGCTGGGTGGTTGCAGGAGCACTGGAGAATGTTCCCACGGCAACCTCGTTGTCTCGAGCTGGATCGGCCCGTCGAGCCTGAATGAAAAATCCTTTGAACTGGTTGCCGCCTAGTCCACGGATTGTTACTATGGTAACAATGAAACAACATTCGGGCATGTCATTAAAGCGGTTGGCCTATGCGTTCTCTTGGCATTGAAAAGTACCATAATGTTGTATTGACTGTGCTATTTGCAAGCATTTTTTTTGTAGAAATATAAGTTATTCATATTCAATGTGTAATTGAACGAAAACCTGACCAGCTTTTAATATTTCGTTATTGTTTCATATAACTTCACAAAATACGATGTATTTGAGTTCCAATGATCATTCAGTTTACGATAGGGGCGGATATCTTGCCTTCAGAAGGGGGTTGATAGGAATGGAGGGTAGAGCAAAGGTGTGGGGAAGGCACACCCTCTGTGGGGGAGGGGGGGGGCGGAGATTGCCGCTGGAAGTAATTCATTCAGATGTACATTTTTGTCTTATGTCTGGAAAATATCAATCAAGACTGTTCTGAATGCTTGAGTAACAGACTGACCGACTGACTCACGGACCGAGTCATCACTGAGTCCAATATACAATATCCAACTAAAACACCAACACGGTCTACGGGGAAAAACATACATGATAGATGATAAAAACTTATAATGAATGGTGAATATATCCAATATCAAAGTACTTTACTGTTTCAGTAATAACCAAAGAAGCTTCCAGTTATACACTGGACAATAATGGTAGGAACTATTATTAGTCTGGTTCCCTGACGTAAGTCAGGTAACGCACCGTTACGTCAAAAAATAGAGCATGAGGCAGCAAAGCCCAGCCCTCGTCTGAATAAATACCCAGTGCACCATGTCTAAATGATGACGTAAATAAATAGACTGCCATATACCTCAATGCTATAACGCGGCCTTCCTAAAATTATTAAAAATACTCACAACTCCCCGGGTGTTTGAGACAACATCTTATTTCATCATCTTTTATTTTAAGTTAATTTTTTGTTCTTTTATCCCATGACTTTTGGGGAAAAAATTCCATCCAAAGATGATATAATGAGTCCTGAATCTCATCGCCATTTCATCATCTTTTATTTTAAGTTCAATTTTTGTTCTTTTATCCCATGACTTTTGGGGAAAAAATTCCATCCAAAGATGATATAATGAGTCCTGAATCTCATCGCCATTTTGAAAATGGACGCCTACACTCCATTGCAAAATAGAATCATTTTTGGGCCTAATTTCATCCAACTTTTGCACAAATACGAGCTCGCACTCCTCTGCACGGCTTCCACCCTTCTTTTATAACAAATCCTTAAGTTCACGGCCTTCAAAATGCTCTTATACTGGAGAAGTTAGGACGTGCCAAACGTGATTTGGCCGGTCGCGTAGGCCATGTAGGGCCTATTTACTGGTCTGCACCCTTAAATGAAGCAAAGTTTGGCAATTTTTCCCAAAAATGATTTGTATTTTTTGAGGAAGGACCCATAACTTATTTATTTTATAAAAAAATGGGGGAACAACTCGAGTTTAATACGAGGCCTGAGAATAAGCCTCCAAGTGCACCTGCCCTGCTGTAGGGCGCCCCCACCAGAATTAATCGAGTTCCAGCTAATTCCAAACCCCAAATCACCCTTTTTATTTCTCTCGAACTTGATTGAATCGGCTAAAGGCCTATTTGAGAGTATTCGATGCGAAACCGCCGTTGTTAACCCCGTTGAAATGCTGATGCCCCCTCCAGGTCACGCCCACTGAAACACCACTGTCTCAGCGTGTACATGTAAAGCGCATGCGCGGCCCTTACAGAAATCTCCCATGTAATTCCCATGGGAATTGCATGGTGAATAAGCCATTTGCGAGTTAAATTTGAATAAAATCTGGAACGCTGACTTAATCCAATGCTTTGCACATTTTAACTTTGCATTCTCCCGACCAAAGAGACTGTTACTACATCACGTGATTCGGGGCAAGCCTTATGCTAGCAACACCCAGCTCTGGCATGGTCTGGTGTCTTTGTGACATTCTCACCCATTGTGAGTGATGTATTGATGCTGAGCGTCTCTTACGTAACTATGCAAGAGCTTGCCCCGAATCATGTGATTAACAACAGTGTCTTTGGTCTGGAGAATTCAAAGTTAAAATGTGCCAAGCATTCTGAGTAAGTCAGTGTACCAGATGTTATTGAAATGTAAATCCCAAAGGGTATAGGTTACTCGCAAATGGCTTATTGGACACCATGTAGCATGGGATTTTTCCCATGGGAGTTTTCCCATTGGCTTTTTCCCATGGGAAATTTTGTATGCGTTTTTTCCCAGGTATGGTTGCCTTTCATTTCCCAAAAGTTTTATTTCTCCATGGTATTTTTCAATATCAACTTCCTTAATACATTTTAACCCTGTGTGTTACGTGCTATTCACTGAATAGGTAAAAACTCTGATAGGGGTTGTTCCATGTAAAAGGGGTGGCTTATGCACTCTAAGACCAAAGTCCACATTATTGCTCCCATACCACTTGTCAAGTTTGAACATGTTATCACAGTGTTCCCAATTTATTTTCTCATACATGTTTCCAACCATAATAACATGTGAATCAATATTATCCAAAGTTTGAACTTCACTTAACAGAAAAAATCAAAAATGTGCAATTACAACACTCGTTATTGTAAGCGATTCTCACAAAAAATGTCCTATGGTAGTCCCATGGTGTCCCATGGTGTTGATCCCATTGTGTTCAATTCGTGAACATCCACAGGAGTTTCCCATGGTCAGCTTAACAAATATAATTCTTGATAACCTCTATGACCACAAGGGAAATATTTTTGATTGAATTCAAATGTACAGCTAGGCGAATAAGTAATTAAATCAAAGAAAGGTTTGGCTATAACTTCGGAGTGCAATTGGGTCTATGATGGTTTTCCATGGCACATGCATGTTCTCCAGTATAACCCGGCAGTGTCCCCGTGCTGCCTTTTAAATCTCCATGGTGTTCCCATTGTATCCATAATTTATATCACCCACATTATGTTGTTCCCATGGCGTCCGAATCCTCATGGTGTACCCATGTGTCCAAAATCCCCATGATGTTCCTATGGTGTCCAGTAAATCCCCATGGTGTTCCCATGGTGACATACAATCCCAATGATGTTCCCATGGTGTCCATAAAATCCCCAAGGTGTTTCCATGGTGTCCATAAAATCGCCATGGTGTTCCCATGGTGTCCATAAATTTCCATGGTGTTCCCATGGTGTTCATTAATTCCACATGGTGTTCCCATGATGTCCATAAAATCCTCATGGTGTTCCCATGGTGTCCGTAAAATCCCCATGGTGTTCCCATGGAGCTCGGAAAATCCCCATAATGTTCCCATGTTGTCCATGCAATCTCCATGGTGTTCCCATGGGTTTTCCCATGATGAGCAAAAATCTCCCATGGTGATCATTTTAACTTACATGGTCTTCTTGATGACCCCTTGGGTTTCTCATGGGGTCCCATGGGAATCCCATGGGACCCCATGGGAATCCTATGGGATGCTCATGGGACATTTCTGTAAGGGGGGGGGGGCATTGTGCCAACCCCGGCCACCCGGGGTGCACCCAAGCAAATACATTCCCATAGACACCAGTGTTAAATCCACATACTTCAAATTTCCTATACAAATATTCAAAACTCTCACAGGTGTTCAGGCTAAACAAGTATATACAGTTACTTTAGGGCCTAATTTCATCCAAATGTCACACGAACACGAGCTCGCAACTCTGCACGGCCGGTGTGACAGGTAATTCTGTCCCCCTGGTAAATGTCCCCCGGACACATTTACCGGCTCGTTACCCGATGATTTTGTCCGGGGGACACTTTCACCTAGGTAGATTTATCCCCCTCCAGGTATAAATGTCCCCCCTGCCCAGCGGTGAAAGTGTCCTGTGTCCCCATGCAGTGTGTACTGAGAGCAGCAGCGTAGCAATAGGAAATGTCGTTACGCGCTATGATGGGAGCACAGACCAATCCAAGTAGGTGTTGTCAATGAGGCGAGGGCCATCGCCATGCATCGCCGCTGAATTGACCTATCGCGGTAGAATCGCAATAGATTTCACCGTACCGTAAATAGTTGTATATTCATGAAGGGCAGACTGAGAGTCCAAAATGTATACCTTGTAGTGAATTCATAAAAACATTAAAGAGAGGGCCACAAAAACCTGGGGGACAGAATTACCTGGAGGGGGACAGAATTAACGGGCCGGGAGGACACTTTTACCTAGGTAATTCTGTCCCCCGGACAGTCTAACCAGGGGACAGAATTACCATCCACACCGGCGTCCACCATTTTTTTTTTTACAAATCGTTAACTTCACGGCCCTCAAAATGCTCTAACACCGGAGAATTTGAGGGCATGCAAATAGTGATTTGGCGGGCGTAGGCAAATTGGGCCTGGTCTGCACCACGTACCTGTCAATGAACCATTCGGAGTGTACTCGCTAGATGAGGTATCGATAGCGTAGGGAGGATTGTCTTGGTCGGTGGCCATACTAACCCCACCGTTGTGACCGGTCGGTATCATGTCGGTGCACAAGCTCGGATTGCTTGACCCCGGTGGTCCTGCGCTGTTGCCGAGGGCGGCCGGCACCAGACACACAAGGATTGCGAAGATCATCCTTGATTTCTGAAACGAGGTTAATGTAACGCCCAAATTAAAACCAGGGGAAAATGGTATACGATCTGGCAGGAAGTTCTACATGTTGCGGTCGGTCGGTCGGTTTGTTGGTCGGTCAGTCTGTCTGTCCGCCCCCCCCCCCCAAAAAAAAATTACCAAAAATAATTTGACCAAAAATTTAGCAATTGACATGCCGTGGTATGGTCAAATAATTGCACTCCTGCCCAAAGTTTTCGGAAGACCTGCTTTGTTTCGACCGATGCGCATGCACGATTTTTTTGCATAATGGCTTTCCCCGGAACATTGACCAACAACGAGCCCACTGAGTTTCCCATAAAATATAACTTCCGAATTTAAATTTTCAACAACAAAAAAGCGAACAAAATAATTAAAACCTTAACTAAAAATGTCTGTAACGATTGGTAAAGTTGCTTAAAATGCAAAATTTTGTTAACGAAGGCAAAACATGTGCAGTAATGTTATAATTGTCATGGTATATGGCGCGCTATATACCGCGCTATATAGCACATTATATTTTATGGGAAACTAAGGGGGCTTATTTTGGTCAGTTTTGGGGACAGACTAGCGCGAAAGCGGTGTTAATCTCCTAGGTGCCGGTGAGAAAAAGTATGTAAATAAAAAAAGTTCATGGGCTTGAGATAAAAGAGCGAGAAACAATTCAACAGACAATGTTAATGACTAAGCATGCTGTGATTTTTTTCGGCCTCAAATTTCAACATGCATAACGTAATTTTTACAATAGGGGGGGGGGGCACCTCCGGGGAAAAAAAGATGACAATTTAAAATATTTCTCTACGAGTGGAACCCGGACCCCGCAGCATTCAAAACCACAGATTCGTGCGGCACGTTTTAGTAAAACCACTTTGACCGCCGTGAATTTTAAGCTATAGACCTTTCTTTTGTTTGTAAACATTGGCGCCATTTTATATGGGCTGCCGCAAGCGCATAAATTGAACCCGTGGTTGGCAACATATTTTTCCAAGAAAAAGTCACCATATTAAACGCCCTCAATACAAAATAAAAAGGTATGTTTAGGAATTATGTTGTAACATTGTTGACAATGTTGTATTTCCAACAATTAAATAATATTTTGGTGATTTGTAATAACTCTTCTTCATTTTTGCAGTGTTGGACCTTCCATAGTTTTGCAACCCGTGGTTGGCAAAAAATGCAGTTTGCCAACCAAGCGTAGAAATATCTACAAGAACTTTTTTCGAATCTTGTGACAATTCATTCGCTGTCTGGTCTTGTTTCCTGGTAAATTTTTATACAATTAAAGATCTACATATTCCGCACTTCCGCTTTGTATTGAGAATGAAGTAAATAGCCTTCACTTTACAATATTTTATTCAATGCTGTCCATTGCTTATTAATATCATCTGACGTCATGATGATGTCAGGGTTCATGTTCATACCCAGTTTCATTATAAAATACATTTTCAACCTTTGAAAAGAATTTCTATGGAGGCCCTGAAGGGACCTGAAAGACGTATATAATGTATTTTCACGACCATCGCAAAAACTTTTCACGACATCGCGCAAGTTTCGCTACATGAAATTCAAGTGAATTATTTTTTGTCGCGAATATTTTCCCACAACATAAAGCCCGGTTCATACTTGGCGCGAAAGCGAACGCGAATTTGTGACGTGATGGCAAGTATTTGCGCTGCGACTTCGTAAAAGTTGAACATGTTTCAACTCAAGCGAATTTCGCGGCGAATGTTTCATGACGTCAAGTAACCGAATTGATCACTTCCCCAACCCCACCCCGCATTTTGAACATCCAAAGGGAAACAAATAGTTAATGAAATAAAGCACGTTTACGATCAAGCAAATTGAGATAAACAATTGAAAAAAAACCAGATTGCAATTTCAAGATGAAAGAGCCAAAGGTAACAATTAAAAACATTAAACGAAAGATAAGTAAATATAGGTTTTCCCGGCCAATTTCCTGAAACGTTCATTCACTTCTGAAAATCGGTCATTAATTTTGTCTGAATTTGAATGCTCGTCTTTAATCCCATTTCAATTCAACTAAAGTTCAATCGTTTTCATTGTCCGTGCATTCGGTTTTGAGAAACAGACGGCCAATTACGTTTCCTGTGCATTCATTTACGTTAGCATACCTTTTCGCGCATAGTTCTGGAATACAATTTCGTGAATGTGAAATAAAAATTACGTTTTCCTCATTCAAAATAGCAGATTACATCACAGTAAACTAGAAGTGAAATAGAATGGTCAATGTTTGAAATCGCCCTCTAAGAGCGAGCAAGAAGTCTTGTAAACGAATCTGAATGAACATAAACGAAAGATGCTGCTCAATCACTTAATTGATTTAACTAAAATGGAATCGAACGCTCTAGTAGCGACAAAATATAAAACGCGTGTTCAGAGCAACTCTTAAATTCAGACGAAAATGAATGACCCATTTTCAGAATTGAATGAACATTTTAGGAAATTGGCCGGGAAAACCTATATATATGTAGGCCTATATGATAAATAAAGAAGGGAAAGGATCACCTATTACTAGTCCATGAGCCAGCAAATTTATTTCGAGGGAATAATTCTAATATGATTTTTTTTCACTGAGTGGAGAAAAATATGAAAATTACAGACAAATATGACAGACCTTCTAAAACGGTAACTTATGATTAGCTTTTTGAAACATTTTTACTGTAAGGGACCGTTCACAATTATCAACATTTTCACGAGCGTACAAACCGTACGCGGGGGGGGGGGGGTTAATGGCCGCCGTACGCTTTTTTTTTTTTTTTAAATGTCGATATGTTTTCTCGCCCGTTAATGCCCACCCAACGCTTTTTTCTTTTTAATGTCGATCTGTTTTCTCGCCCGTCGCCACAGCTGACAGCCGCAACCGATGCCGATCGAGCACTTGCCGAGCCGGTCGCGCCCCGCGCCAGGCCCCGCATTACATCCCATGAACGTATTGTGTACAGAATGCGCGGCATTGTCCTACACACGTACATGAAATGTACTGTATGTACATGTACATGTTCATGTACATGTACATGTATAGTCCGTATCCACTGCGTGTTTTTAACGGCCGGTGTCACATGAAAATCCGATTCCCATGAAAATCAGACCCCTTTTTCCCTTTTATTGGTTAATCCCTCGCACGTGACCGGTCATCTCCTCAAACGATCCTAAAAAAAGCATAGTATCGTACTCACGCGTGCGCAGTACTACCAATGAGTCAACATTTCATGGAGTCGGATATTCACGGTACACCGGTTGAACAACACCGGCACTAGCAAAAGTGGCGGACAATAAATATTCTAGCTGCGCTGTTGACTTGGATCAATTGTTGAAATTCCTCATTCGACAAGGATGTATTGTCCACAAGAATCCGACCAACAAATCCGACCTTGAAAAAGTGTACTCTTTGTACACTTGTGAAAATGTTGATAATTGTGAACGGCCCCTAAATGTGGCGTCACGACGAAGTCCGGTTCCCATGTGAACCTCAGCACCTAGACCAGCCAACCTTTCCCATTATGCAAGGGTTTATTTGAAAAAGATGGATTTTTTTATTAACGAAATACATGTATACCTTTTTTTTTCAAATTTGTTATGTTTTTCTGTCAAATATCTATGTTTGCAGAAATCTGCCAGAAATCGACAAAAAAAATCCATTTTGTCAAATTTTCTGTCAAACTCATTTTTTAACAAAAAATCTGTTAAATTTATAGCCGAAAATCGGCTAAAACGGTCACCCTGATGTAAAGTCCTAGTCTCGGTTCTCGACGATCCCTGTGTTTTTATTCGACGAGCGCAAAATCAACCCACCCAAAAACATTATCGCGAACCATCGCTGATCAGCCACGAACCGCTATCTCACATGACTCCGGAACCGCTATCACGGAGCGGTTCGTGTGTGATAGCGGGGCGTGACTGATTACAGTTCGCGCGTGGCTGACAGTTCGCTCGTACCCCCCGCCCTGCAAACAGGACGCTGCTCTGATGAATTCACCCTCTGATTGGTTGGATTTTGCGTGACCAGTGGCCTGCGTGATATCAAGGTCATGACTTTGCAAGGTTTGAAACGGCCGACTGATTCATTACTCTTTTATTCCAGTTTAGAGATGTTTTTTTCTCGTTGAAAAGCGTAAGAGTGTAGGAAATTCTGTAAACTTATCTGTAATTCCCGTCACTCGCTCGAGCTCCTTTTCGAATCACGAACGGACGGATTGCATTATGCAACGCTCAAAATTTTGTCCACATGGTCCCCAATGACACAGAAATCACATCCGGTATGGAATGTGCGCTATTCTATGGGAAGTTTTCGGATAGCATTTGCGCACATTGTCTAACTGCGGTCTTGAACAGCTGCAGCCAGATGCTTTATACATATAGTCCAGATTCCGCCTTGCTAAGCCCCATCCATTTCTTCGGAGTCCATGGCCCCAATGATCCCCCATCTGTACCGTGATGTGTGAATGGTCTGGACTGCTGGTGAATTGCTTACGTGTGGTCAGCAACAAATGATCAGAGGTCATTTTTTGCAAGTCCAAGTCAAGTCACAAGTCATTGTTTGCAAGTCCAAGTCAAGTCACAAGTCAAAGCTGGTATTTACAAGTCAAGTCACAAGTCACAAAAATAGCGACTCGAGTCCGACTCGAGTCCAAGTCACATGACTCGAGTCAGCAACTCTGTAAATGATCGGTTGCTTTCTCCATAAATCTGTAGTCCCACTTTTCATTTTTAATGAATCCTACATGTCTCCTGTACTTCTTATTTGTCGGCTATAAATTTAACAGATTTTTTGTTAAAAAATGAGTTTGACAGAAAATTTGACAAAATGGATTTTTTTTTTTGGGGTCGATTTCTGGCAGATTTCTGCAAACATAGATATTTGACAAAAAAACATAACAAATTTGAAAAAAAAGGTATAGATGTATTTCGTTAATAAAAAAAATCCATCTTTTTCAAATAAACCCTTGCATAATGGGAAAGGTTGGCTG